GTGAAATCTACGGGCCCTAGGTCTCTTCCTTATCATATTTGCCTTTGAAATATATTTTTATTTGCTTTTATTTCAAGATCTATTAATCCAAAAACCCAAAAATACCTTGCTACAATTTTATTTATTTATTTTATCTCGCGTTCCTGCGAGATCTATTTATCCAATCTACTATAATTTTATCTATCTTTTTACCCGGGAGGGATTGACAACCCATCTTTTACGTCGGGTTGCAAGTATTTGTTCTTTGTGTACAGGTACCATTCACGTAGTGTTGCATGGTTCTCCTACTGGTTTGATAACCTTGGTCTCATCACTGAGGGAAATACCTACCGTAGCCATGCTGCATCATCCCTTCCTCTTTGGGGAAATACCGACGTAGTTCAAGCCGCATCAGGTAACAGGAGACAAAGGGGACAATATTTACCCAGATTCGGACCCTCTCGAAGAGGTAATACCCTACCTTCTGCTTTGATTGTATTAATGATGATGTGAGTACAAGCTTGATTTACCTCAAGATCGTAAGTTGTGTTCTAACCCTAAGGCTAGGTGGTTGTAATTGTGACCGTGGTATCTATGGATTAAACCCCTCAGCATATATAGATGCCGAGGGTAACTAGGGTTACACGTGGTCGGTTGCCCATCCAGGGATACATACGCCGACAGCCGATGCTGTCCTTGGAGTACACGTCAAGTCTTCGGCAGAATCCATCTTGATCATGTTGAAGAAGTACATGTCAAGTCTTCGGAGTTGGCATCGCCATCCCCGCCCTGGTGGCGCACGACCACGGTGAAGGAGGAGCCCTCCCTGGCGACCGCCAATGTGCGCGTCCGCCTCCTTTACTATCTCGACAGTGGCGGCATTTCCTCGCCCTCGCGCACTAGGACGGCGATCGACAAGACGTCGCTCGAGGAGGATCGCTGGGAGCGGTGCAACACAGCGCATCATTCGACCTTCGTGAAGTCGAACGCGACGCCGGACTGGGTGTGCGTCGACCCAGACCTTGTGTTGGCCTAGGCTGAGGATCAATCTAGGACTACCACGTAGACTTCCTCCTGTCGTCGGCGCCAAATCAACGACCAACTCTACAAGATTGGATTGTCTGAGTTCGAGCGTGCCACCCTTGCCCTTGCCGGCAACGGGGCGGGAAGTGTGGGCCGGAGTCTGCGCCTGACCGTCGCCGCGAGCCGGACGCGGCCGATCATCTGCGTGAGGAGGAGCGGCTTTGCCGCGAACGCGCAGCGCCGACCGATCAGGGCTACCGCGACCCCTGGGCAGTTGTCCTCTGGAAGGACGACGACGACAACGGCAACAGGGACGTCAACGCAGGTGCCGACAACCCCGGAGATCATGCCTATTGGATCAACGTCCGATACATAGCATAATTTACTTACTTTTTAAAAAAATTGTTAACCCTGTTGAATAGCGTTTGTTGTGCATTTAATATAAGAAACTTGTTTAAATTTTGTTCATTTTCATGCATTTTGTATGTTTATTTAAATATCCACTTGAAATATGGGCAAATATTTGATGCATAGAGTCGGATGACCGTTCCCCTATACGGGGAGAATATCCGGTGCACCGGTGCTTGTGGTGCTACCGGTGCACCGAACTCACGTTACACATTTTAAATGTTCAAAAAACTGGGACAATAATTTAGCACATTCGCACAACATCAAAGTACGTTGTCACAAAATTTCAAGTCAAAATTTGAAACATACCTTGAAAAACAAAATTGACAAATTTAATATTGAACAGTACGTAACATAAGGTGGGCCTTAGATTTGGCCCATTGTCACATCGATATCAAATTTATCATTTTCATATCTTAAGATATGTTTCAAATTTTGACACGAAATTTTGTAACAACATACATAGATATTGTGTCAATGTGCTAGATTCTTTTTTAGAATTTTTAAAATGTTGTACGACATCGGGTGCACTGGTAGCATCACAGGTGTGGGTGCACCGGATACATCCCCCCCCCCTATACGTTATCTATGGACACGTTGGACGAAAATTTTATTGTGTTCGATTTAATGGACTATTTTTTTTTGTTTGAGAACCGCCTCATAGGCATTTATTCATTCAGGCCTGATCATAAAACAAAACACAGAAACTACATTGAGAGGGAGAATCGAGCCCTAATACTAGAGCTTCTTTGGCACACAGATGAGCAGCCCGATTGGCTTGCCTTCCTATCCATCTCAACTCAAAGTCCTGGAAGTTTGGGAGATAAGTGCCAGAAGAACGATCCTCCCCACGTTCCCATGCATTGGCAACGTCCTGACAATCAGTTTCCGTACTTATCCTTGTGTATCCATTGGCCAATGCAAACACCATTGCATCCCGGGATGCGGTCAGCTTTGTTAGAAGGGAGAGAGAGGATTGATGAAATTGTTATTGTATTGCTTGAGTCTTATGGGCATATATATGTATAGGAGTGCATGATCTACTTGGAGTACAAGACAAGTCCGAATATTATCTAGTCTATCCTATGTTTCCAATCTAATCAATATACTCAACATCCCCCCGCAGTCACAACGATAGC